TTTGTTTCGCTAGCCCTCTCCCGCATAAAAATATTAAAAAAATACCTGAGAAGTAGAAGTTGTTATATCTCTGGCATACATCGAATTATTTTCTTCAGTATTTTTATTGACTAATAAGAAATTGGCATCATCACTACTCTCTTTTAAAGAAGAATTTGATGAATCTGTTGGTGGAAAATAATCAGTATCTGAGTTACTGTAGTTAGACATTTGCGAATTGGTCTCTTTAGAATCAATGTTAAATTTCTTAACGGTATTTGACTCATAGTTTACTGGCTTAGATAAAACAATGTCTTCCAAAATCACGATTTTGTTTTTATTCTCTTTATATGAATCTCTATTACGTTCGTATTTATTTAAAACGTTCTTTTCGAAAAGTTGTTCATTTTCGAGAGAACAATCGTACACTGTATCTGGTTTTGAAACTGTGCAACTGACATTATCAAGGTCATGAATTTTTTCATTTTCAAATTCATAAGGATCAATTTTAATCAAGTTAAATTTCTTAACGGTATTTGACTCACAGTTTACTGGTTTAGATAAACAACGTCTTCCAAAATCAAAATTTTGTTTTTATTCTCTATATATAAATCTCTATTAAGTTCGTATTTATCTGAAATGTTCTTTTCGAAAAATTGTTCATTTTCTGGAGAAAACTCGTACACTATGGGGTCTATTCTGTAACAATTCCTTTATATTTAACGGCCTTTAAAAATATTTTCTTCTTTACTTCTGTCATTATTTAAACGGATCTTTAAAATACATTAAAGGACTATCTTAAAGAAATCTGTTTAAATAATGACAGAAGTAAATTAACGAATACAAACATATTTTTAAAGGTCGCCAATATTTTTAAAGGCCGTTAAATATAAAGGAATTGTTACAGAATAGACCCCTATATCTGGTTTTAAAATTGTGCAACTCACATTTCCAAAGTCGTGAATTTCTTCATCTTCAAATTCATAAGGATCAATATTTTCCAAGTTTGTTTTAGTAGTAGCTTTAGAAACATATTGCAGATAGTGGTAAACTTTTTCTGTTGGCCTATCTTCTGGCAAACATTGAAGAATCTGTAGATGTAGGTACACAAATAGCTATAATCTAGGAGGTATAAAAATCTCATTTATAAACGGGACACTTTTTTCTCATTACTCACTCACTTTTTTCTTTATTATAAATAAAAACACTCCAACCGTAACTCCACCTCCACCTCCAACTTCAACTCCAACTCAAACACAGACCCAAACACACGCACGCACACACATTTTTCTGAAAATTTTAAGTTGTTTCATTTTCAGTTTTTTAATATCTCAAGCGCCCTTTACCCCAATTTTTGATTAATTTTTTTTTAACAATAGGCTTCGTCTTCTTATAAAGCTTATTTTTCCTGAAAATTTTCGTTCTTGACTATCGTAAAAAAAATTAATTTGGATCAATAATAAAAATTTTGATTTCTCTAAAGTAAACCTAAATACTCTTCACTACTATGTAAAGAGTATAATTACCTAGGTGCTTTGCTGCCTTCTTTATCATTTAAATATTATAAAAATAAACATGAAAAATCCTTTGACCAATACGATTTTATGCGGAACTTTAGATTTACACAGACTTGTAAATAAAATAAATAATAAAACTAATGACTTAAAAATTTACAAGAAATACGGAAAAAATCAAAACATTTTCATAATTTCTCTCAGCCATATCAAACTATCTGACGAGTCTTACTAGCAATTTTCCACGATACATGTTTTATCGCTGAATGCCAAAGATATACTCATGCAATATGTTGAAATGTGTTTTCAATCCCGCGTACCTACTTACCAATTGGCAACGTTGCGTGGTCTGGTAAGGTCGGTGAAGTACTTACATTTTGTATTTATTTGACTGAAAGGACTGTTGGATATGTCGGACCTCTTAACGATTGTTAACTATGTCAAAAATATTTAACTTTAGTTTTGTTTACCCCTCTATTGTTGCTTGTGATTGTAAATTGGTAATTAACGGAATTTTAAATTATATATTTTAAATAACCTATTATTTCTAGAGGGTCTAAGGTTGTCTGATGAATATCGTTGGACTACTAACGTCGGTTGGATAAATATATATATATATATATATATATATATATATATATATATATATATATATATATATATATACATATATATATGGCATTAGAAAATTCTTAAATGACAAATTTAAGAAACCTAGATCTGTCAAAAGTTATTTTGAAAAAGACCTTTTATAGCCCCAGCCAACACACTGGTGGCTTCACCGAAAAATATTCTTCCTGCGCAAGTTGCGATCACGGCAGATGCGTAATGGTCATGGTGACGTTATTCTACAATTGTTGAGCGGCTACAGCTGGACATGGAATTCTTGAAGAATTAACGAGTCGCAATTATTTAAACTTAAAAAATTAATTTCTCGTTATACTCTTGTTAGATATGAGAATATATCACATAACCAAAGGTAACCCTTTTAACACTCTATTCGAGGCTTTAATACCAAACAGAACGGAAGTCACCATAAGGGAACTTAGTGTACAACAATAGGAACAAACCTGATACAGACAGGTCAAAGACTGCGGAAGGTACTGGGGATGGAGAATTCTCCAAAACCCTAACACCAATCTAAGCTATACAATAGAAAGACTTGCTTAAGTGTTGGGCTGAGGTTTATGCAAATTCAAATAATTTCAGACAGCCATATCGAGTCAGAAATTGACTTCGAGGCTGGGATTTCATCGAAGAACTGAGTACACTGGGAGAACGAAATAGATAAATTGGGTGCTAGGTCATCAATGCAAGAAGGGCAAAAAAGGCTAAAGAACTTGCAAAAAGAGGTTTAGAAATATCGAATCAGATATAAACCTTGGAGTATCAAAAAGTATAGTTAGAGATTTTATAAAAGACTAGGTTCGGAGAAAACACATTAGCTATTGAGAGAATGTCCCAAAATAGACAAATGGGAAAATCTTTACAGGAAGACCGACAAAAAAACAAGACTATTCTTTATGAAAAGGACAAAATAGGCGTGTAAAATGAAGACCTATTGTGTCGACTCTATAACAAGGAACCAGAAACAGCCAAACACATACTATGCGACTGCTGAACATTGGATCGCAAAAGACAACTACAGGTTGATTCAAGAACCTATAGAAGACACCCTGTCAAGGACGTGTATAAACTTGTACAAGAGATAAATGTGACAGAGTGGATACCGCAAACTAACATGGGTCAAATAAAATAAGACATTAGGCTACAGTATTATCAGAGACTAAGTCAGACAAGCCCAGGAGGAAAGATCACTCGGTTTCTTTGTTAGCAGAATCAGAATTAGATAAAAAGGAACAGTGGATGGAAGTCTACGATAGTAGCCGAGGGCTTTATTTATTAAATGGGAAAAAATGGGTATTTTAGAAATAATTCTCCCAATTGGTACTTCCAGCAACGTAGAATTTTGAAATGTCCGTCATACACTTTTAAGCCTAATATATGGCGTGGACTAGCCAAATGGAATAAACTCGGTAAAAAATAAACGGGGGCGTGTTCGGAAAAACGCTCGGACACGTCGATTGCTATTTTCAGTGGTACATTTTTTTAACAAAAACTTTTCATACAGGGTGTGTCATGTAACAGAGGCCAAGACCAAATTTCTTATTTTAAATGCAACACCATGTATATTTTTAAATTTTTGGTTTCTTCAGAAAATTCTACACATATTTTATGATCTGTGTCCTTCACCTAGCTACTTAAGAAGACGAATAACACTTGCGAATAAATCGGTCATTCCTGAAATGTTGAGTAACGTAAAAAGACATTTTTATTTCAGATTAGGATGTTGCCAAGAACTTCGCGGCGAGATAAACAGTATTACTTATTTGATTTTGAGTGTGCTATAACGAATTTTTGTAATCAAATTATTTTATTTTTGCAATAAATCGGAAAACATTTAATATTTCCGAAACAGTTATAGGTCATACTACATAAAGTATGTCTAGAATTTCCTAAAGAATCCAAAAATTAAAAAATATACAGGGTGTTGCATTTAAAATAAGAAAGTTGGTATTGGCCACTGTTACATGACACAACCTGTAATTTATATAAAGTTTTTGTTAAAAAAAATGCGCAACTTAAAATACCAATCGACCTGCCCGAGCGTTTTTCCGAACACGACCCCATTTATTTATTACTGAATTTATTCCATTTGGCTGTTCCACAATGTATATTCATTATGATGAAATCGACAGTCCAAGTAGTATTTTTCGAAGTTTCTTAACGTTGTAAGGGAATAAATAATATTAATAATTGTTCATAAGTAGTAAATGTTAAGTTTTATTGATTTTTACTCCATTTATCATTATTTTTGACGTTTAAATCATCATTAAGCTAACTACCCCACTTTCTTGAAAACTAAATAACTTTACCAAGCAATATAAACAGTATAAACACACTACAACAAGTCGTTGAGAATAAATTAATATGGAGATTTATTTTATTAAATTAGGTAATGAATGAAGTTATGCATATGCAACAATACAAGAAAGTAATATTGGTTGCATAGGCGTTACTAATATTTTACCAAAACACAATTTTATAAATAATCTAGTAAAAATTATAAAAAACATTGTATGTAACACGTTATGAAATGCAGTTTTGTGTAACTCGTTTATGTTGCTGGATCTCGCTCTACTCTTCCTGCAAATATTTACTCGGTACATAAAATAAGGCATGTTACATAATTATTATCATGATTGTACAAAGATAGGAAATAAATATGAAAACTATTCAAATGTATTTTTAGAAATACATGTGTCATGTGTGCTATTCAATTCTACCCATTTTCACTATTAGAATTATTAGAAGTTTCTCTTCCTCAATGAATCTTTGTAGATGGAAATATTACGTAATCAGCACGTTTGTCAACCAAAACCTAATTAATATCTCAATTATAATTTGGATCGATTATATTTTATAATTATTTTTTCTTTGTTTCAGTTAAGAAAGCTCGTTACGTTGGAATACAAGGTAATGTATTTTATCTGTAACTATACCAGTTTCTTATATTTTTATTTTGTACCTGCGTAATTTTTCTATTTTCAGCACAACAATTTAATACCTACGTAACACTCAAACTACAAAACGTCAAATCTACTACTGTAACTGTCAAAGGAGCGACACCATGCTGGGAACAGGACTTCTTGTTGTAAGTATCACAAATTTCACTTTTACGTAAATTGTGACTCTTCTTTTTTCTATCAAAACCTATTTTTTGTACTTTAATAGTTTTTATTCTCAAAAATTTGTCTAAATTCGATGTTTTGATGATGTTTAGTATAGTCTATTTGTATAAATATGAAGGATCATCACAGTAATATACCGGGTGTTCAAATTAAAGTGTTACAGTTTTAGATAAAACTTTTATAGTTTTTTAGGGAAAAATTTTTGGCTAAAATCGTTTTTTATAGCTAACCATAATATGGCCAACTTTTTTTTCGCGCAGAAAAATTTTCAAGTAGGTGTTACTCAATAAGTAAAAGTCCAATAAAAAAAGGTTTTCTTTAAAAGTTACTCATTTTTAATGAACTTTAGGAATATATAAAAAATGTAGTTCCAATTTGAAAAAAAAAGTTTACCTCGATATGGCCATGTTATGGTCAGCTATAAAAAAATGAATTTAGCCAAAATGTTTTCCCTAAAAAACTATAAAAATATTGTCTGAAACATTTTTTTATAAAATGCATATTTTCGGCGGTATTTAACTGTAACAATTTAATTTGAAAAGTAAACTTATATAAAGTTTCAATCTAATTTCATTTACACAGATTATCTGAAAATTTTCAAAATCAAACTTGACTTACACTGTTAAATTTAAACTTCTATCAAACTTACCCATCATAAATACGCTTTACACTCTTAGGTTTTCATTATCTTTATACCCAGGTGTTTCAATATATTTTGAACCTTTTTTTATAAAACCATGTTACTTTTAAACTAGTTGAAATAACGAAATGCCCACCATCTGGCTTAAGCAGAAATTACATTCTTTATTTTCGGGGAGAGGGCAACTGCTATTTCGATTTTTTTTCTCAGTTCAATAGCCCACTGTTTGCCCTTTCCATAAATGCATACTTTTATAATTGTTACAAAGGGTATTGGTTTTATAAGCTCTTAAGAGCAATCCAGTCCGTTCTGACGTCACACCGCACGGATCTCACGACCTCCCCTTAAAGTATTTGGAACCTTGTTCGCTACATAAATTTGGCAATGTTGTGTGTCGTGCGCTGAAGAATAATCATATTGGGAGGGTCCGATTACAATTACATGAACACAGGTATGTCATCAATTGGCAAAGTAATTCGTTGGCTATCGCCGCCTACTGGGGGTTTAGTGGCTTGTTAATATTATAGGAATGTAGTAATACTATTTTTAAACCAAGCAACTCAAATATTTTTAATTTATTGATAGTTATAGATAATATACAGGGTGTCCCGAAATTAGACGGTCATATTTTAATAGCGTAATCTACATCCTAAAATAGTAGTAAAAGTTCATATAAACATAGGTCCGAAAACTTTTCTTTTCCAAAATACAGGGTGTTAAAGGTGAAGTCCTGATACCACACTTTTGTAAATATTTTCTAAACGTTTAAAGATAATTAGGTAAAATTTGGTACAAATACTTAGCTTTTTACGCTCCATTTATTGGACTAAATCCCAGTTTCTGATCATCTTCTTAGGTGGGTAAATTAGGGAGAGCTTAGGGTAAAATTGCCGTGTGTGTCGGTGTGTCTGTATCCACCATAACTCATGAACCGATACACAGAAAAACACTAAATTTTAAACTTAAACTTTATTTCAGCGTTCAATGAACGGATTAGATTTTGAGCAGAGTCTGAACATCTGGGGGGTACTTTATGGAAGGCCGTTTTTATATTTTATGAAATATATCTGTTATTTATGTTTGGAGAAGAAAATTGTTTAAATAAAAGTTACTTCTAATATTATTATCTATAATTTTTGCTTTTCGTCAAAATTTCCTGAAATGCTCCGTATTCGAGAAATTTGACAAAATGTGCAAAATTCTGATTTTTATGAAAATTGTTGAACTAAAAGTTGTTTGCGATATCGATCTCTATAATTTTTGTTTATACATGATTTTTCTAAAATGGACCGTAATGGAAAAATTGTAGGAAAAATGTTTCGAGGTAGATGTATGTGGAAAATGCATATATTTAGTTTATCCTCTAAAAATGGTGCTGCAATAGGTTGTACAAAATAACCAGAAAAAGCCTATAATAACTAGATAGGAAAGTCATGTGTTGGACACATTAGATTTTTTGACTATAAAATTTGGAAAACCAATATTTTCTGTATAATAAAGCCACATTTGTTGCATCTCGCTAGGACGCGCCATTTTCAAGAGAAAAGCATGTTACCTTATTCGAAAGTGTAAACAATAATTAGTAGGTCTGTAGAATTAGAAATTTTATTTTTTTTTTAACTTTGAAAAACCGGTAACTAAAGAAATTTTAGAAAATATCTACAAAAATGTTCCATCTGGACTTCACTTGTAACACCCTGTATCTCGAAATCGAAACGTTTTCAGACCTATGTTTATATAAACTTTTACTCCTATTTTTAACCGACTTCAAAAAAGGAGGAGGTTCTCATTTCGTCGCAATATTTTTTTTAAATTTTTTTTTTATGTATGTTCAGCGATAATTCTTTAACACGGTGTCCGATTTCAATGATTTTTTTTAGTTAGAAAGGAGGTACTTCAGGGGTGGTTCCATATAAATTTGGTCAAAATCTAATAATTGGGCCCATGAGAAAATCCTCAAACTCTTCATTTTTTATGTATGTTTAGCGATAATGCTTTACCACCTTGTCCGATTTATATGATTCTTTTTTTGGTTGTAAGGGGGTACCTCAGGGGTGATCCCATATAAATTTGGTTAAGATGTAGTGACGGCACCTGCACGTTTTTGAATTCCGTTTTTTTAATTTTTAATTTCTAATAATTATAGGAAGTAGATTACGCTGTTAAAATATGACCGTCTAATTTCGGGACACCCTGTATATTGGAAATTCAAAATAATAGTTATGACGTAGCGGTGTTCTTCTAATTGTATTTGGACCCTAGGTATATGGATACGGAAAGTGATGAATTGGAGATAGGTAAATTTTATTTATTGTATTAAAGGAACAAAAAATATAAGTACAATTAAATAAGTATATTAATATATCAATTTTTTAAAGTCTGTATAAAAAAAATTTTTTTTCACATAGATTATTAAATTAAAAAAATAACTATTAAAACACGAAATGTTAATTTTTTCTCTTTCACAACACAAAATATACAATACTGTTGAATCAAAATTTTCTCTTGGCAGCAGGTGGTTTTTGTGACGCGACAATTATGATGCTTTGCATCTCATGAATTAAAGCTAATTCTCTTTCAATCTTAAGGTGATCATACCCCTTTTAAATTTCGGACAAGAATATCTCAAAATATTTAAATTTGGCAAAATAAATTAGGCAATAATATCTGTAATATGCATATATTTTAATGTCTTAATTCCTTCCAGTTTCCGAAAAAAACTAAAGGGGCTTTAATTTTGAAATATTATAATGAAAATAAATGCATTCCTCGACAGTACTATTCTTAATATAATCCCTAAAGGAGAATGGGCAATTTTGCCCCACCTCCCAATAGGAGTAAGATATATGCCAGATAAAAGATATCGGTAAGAAGAACATTTGTTTTTATTATGACTTCTCTCAATTGTCTGTCCGTTCCGAGTTATACAGTGTGTCTACGTAAGTTAAAACCATATGGAATTTTTTTTTAATATTGGTTTTCTGAAAAAAATTATTGTTGATAAGAAGTTCTGCATGGTCCAAAACTTAAAATATTAGATATTAATTTTTTTAAGCCGTATACGGGGTTTGTCAAAAAATATGAATTTACTCAAGAGTAAAGTACCTTATTTTTTAAAATACAGAAAAATGTTATAAAGTTATTTAAAATTAAAAGTTATATTCAAATATGCAAATACAGTCATTTAGCATAAAAATTCAGGTTAGGTGATTATTTACGTTCTACATTATAAATTACTTGTAGCTATAAATAAATAATCACCAAACCTGAATTTTAATGCTAAATGGGTATAATTCCATATTTTTGATTCAAAATACCTCTATTTTATAACATTCTCCTGTATTGTAAAAAATAAAGGTACTTTACTCTTTATTTTTTGACAAACCTCGTATACGGCTTAAAAAAAATTGATATCTGATAGTTGCATTTTAAGTGTTGGACTATGTAGAACTTTTTATCACAAATGAATTTTTTCATAAAACCAATAATAAAAAGGTTTCCCATACCTGTATGTGACAAAACATCCAAATCTCGTGGTGAAGAAATGCGAAGTTACCAAGTTATATTATTATTAAACTTTAGTTTAGCTGTAATTAGTTATGGGGAAACTATTGCCATAGGGACGCTTGTTATAGTAACGACTAAACAAAAACCCAAATCATGTGGTGAGGAAACGCGTAATTGTCAGGTTATAGATGAATTAATTTAGCTTAAATCAGTTAAGGAAAAACTGTTGCCATAGGGAGACTTATCATGGTAACGACTAAATAAAAAAAAACAAATTCATTGGTATGGAAATGCATAGTTGCCAACTTATACATGATTTAATTAAACTTTCGCTGAAATCAGTTTCGGAACAACTGTTGCCCCATGGACAGTTGTCATTGTAACAACTAAACAAAATCTTAAATCTCGAAATGAAAAAATGCATAGTTGCCAAATTATAGATGATATAATCTAACTTTCGTTTAGCTGAAAGACATTTTTCATGCGAGCCATGTACTAGCTAGCATGAGAATTGCCTTCTACTTATTACGTTCATTTTATATTGATATTATATTGCGCTAAGTAATTAAAACGGTTGTAGTGTTTAAAATTCTTCAATGTTAATACTTTTTAGATAAAAACTTTTTGAAGCACACTGTAAATTCCAAAATATTTTTTAATTAGGGCTCCAACAGATATACATATTTCTGTATAAAAATAATTTGAAAAAAATTATGTCATAATCTGGACCAATGCGTATAGGATGCCCCCTCCCCACCCTGTATATGTTACAAATGGTATTATATTCGTTCTAATTTTAATGGGGTAATAATATTT